GCAATTTTCAGGACCACTGCAGGTGATGCTAGTGTACCCTAAGTTTGAGAACCGCTTGCTCCCTTAGATCATATGGCAGCAGAGTGTCAAATACATTGGGTTAAATAAGTGGAAAAGTTTAAAATCACAAAAGGCTTGAAGAGTTTATTAAACAAAAATGGAAAATGATAAATATTAAAAATTAAAATTACCAATAGATTTGGATATCAAATGTGGAGCCAGAATGGTGGACGGAAATGGTGTTAATTGAAAGAGAAGGATCTATTCATGATAATTCTTAGGTCTGGTCCGAGAGCTGGATTACTGGATTACTGGATTACTCATGAGAATACAGGAGTGAGGGCAAGTTTGAGGAGGAGGAGACAGAAGAGAATTGCCCAAAGAGCAAATAAAGCTTCAGCTCCTAGACTCTTTCAAATCCTATGTGTTCCCATGGCCACTATTCCTGTAAATATTCCAAAAGTAAAATTTCTTTTCTTCTTTTTAAAGAGGATTTTCAAATTTCTATAAGTCTTATGTCCTCTCAAACCAATATTGAGCTTAGCATTGTAAAATAATAGTACCAGATTTATATGGTACTGAGGGACTTCCAACTAGTGTTGTCTCACAGGAAACTGCACATACTTCTCTAGAATTTAGGGATGATATTTTCTTATAGCCTGGCCACTCAGAAATAAGCAATACAAAAACATGAGAACACAATTGCACTTCATTCCAAGACACTGGCAAACATATAATACAGCTTATTTTATCTAGAAAATAAATTCTTCATAGAATTATCTGCAAAAAAACTGATATTTTTCCGAAAAACTCATTTTTTCCTTGTATCAGTGAATGAGTATTAGCTAAACCAAATTTCCTTTTTCTTTTGTTTTATCTGTTACTAAGCTTAAAGATGAATACAAATCTAAGTTGCAGTAATTATTCAATTTATAGTAGTTGGTACAGCTATCTCTATCCAGATTAGTTTATTTTTGATCCTTTTTATTATGTACCTATTATTTTTCTGCTGAAGCATCTTTTAGAATTGGAGTGGAAGGATCATTATGTATATTTTAAATATTTTAAAGATGTATGCCCAGGACATTAAACTAAAAATACGTGGACCCCAGTTTATCACTGTTTGCACTTGCTATTTCACTTAAAAGTATCTGTAATTTTGGTCAACTTATAAGTGCACATTTATAACCTTGACAAAACATAAAATCTTAGAGCTCTGGTTTGGGTAAAGAAAAAAAAAAACATTGAGTATAATTTTGGGTAAAGGCAAGTTCCTTCTAGACTATCTAGTTGGAATATAATAGGCAAAATTAATATTGCAAGTAAAAGTATCTTGTAAATTAGAAAAATTTATAGAAAGGCATTTTTTTCCTTGGGAAATATTGATAACATTATTATTCACCTTGTCAATCAGTTTTAAGAAAAATAGCTAGCCTTCACTAACTGCATGTATTGTAGAAATGGATGTCAACTGCCAGATCAAAGGTCAATTCTATCACCATGTAAGTAGAGGTTTAATATTGGTCAGCTTGTTAAATAATAATGTTTAATGTTCATGTCAATGTATATAAACACCATACCATTGAATCATTTTGCTAATATTATACAACCCATACCTTAACAGCTTGTTTGTTTTTAATGTCAGAAGAATCCACTCCCAGGCAAGTTTCAAGATGAGGGTTTCTCTGTGTCATCCTTCTACAATGTACACAAGGGCCATTTAAGCCAGATATAAAATTAAGCCTTAAAATGGTTAGCAGAAAGAAGTTAGGGTGTCACATTCAATGTGACAGAACTGGTACAGCAAATCTTACAATAGAAGTTTTGAGGAGAATATATTTAATGTAATGTATACTACAGGTATCATTGTCTATAAGCATCAGAATAGTGGTGTAAGGCATTTCTTCCAGATTTGATCCTGCAGAATTGCAATGTGCATTTATCTCTCAGTTTGGTTCAAAGAGCAAAGAGAGTCCCAGAGTAGCTCTGACATACTACTCTTCACCCAGAAATTCTGAATCAAAAGATGCCACCAGATCCTCTGGTGTGTACTGAGGGTTTTTTTCTTTTTAAAGATGCCATCAGAGAGCACAGTATTGGTCTTTTGTTGTTGTTGTTCTTAGACACTCCATTTAATGATTTTTCTTGATAGCCAAATAACTCTCTCAAAAGCCTAGCTTTGTTTCTCTCTGCTAAATGAGGACCATTTACTAAAAGAGAAGCTAAGCCTACCAAGTGTTTCACATAAACTCTGCAGATGACCTAGTGTAGGAAAGCAAAGAGTAAATAGGCAATTACACTAAAATGTGTTAAGTGCTGCAATAGACGTGAGCACAGAGATCTACAGGACACCAAACTTTACTTCGGGCAATAGGAAAGATCCACAGACGACAAGTTAAACAAATTTTAAGGATGAATAGAAGTGAGCATGGCTGAGTTAAAGGATTCTGCAGTATACCACACAGTAAAACAACAGAATGTCATCATCCTGATTAGGTTCTTTTATAAAAATAGTTTGAGATACTAATTGGATGCTCACGGCACTCCACATTTTTTCTGTTTAAAAACTAGACATTACTGAATATAAGGCAGAAATTTTAGAGTCAGAAGTAAGTTAGAAGCATAGCTATGACATTCAATAACTTTGGGAATAGTCAAATTATGTCATCACCAAGACCTTTAATTTTCCAGTAAATACAATTGGAATAATAATACCTTCCTCACTAATTTGATGTGAAAATACATGTAAAATAGCAAGTG